ATTTCGTATGGCATCAGTCAATCATATTTCAAAAATGCGTAATGCATATTTCGAATGAATATTCAATACTTTTGTGTATATCATTCCTAACATTATTAATTATGTATTCTTTTGTAAACTGTCCTCAAATTGATTAACCTAATCCTTTTGTGTTAACTTATTACGTTGTGCACTAGTTTTACCTTACCATCTATTTGATTTTACATTTATCATTGTAACTACATTATTCTGTTTGTAAAATCTTCTTAAAGGAGGAAATAAAGAGAATAATAATAATAACACCCGATATCGAGACTTACTAACAACTTGGAAATCTTCTTCCATACGGAAATCCTGATGTGCCAGTTAAATATAATGAGAATATTTTCGACTTTGTCCAACATTTTATCCACCAGTCGAAACGATTTTAAGTTTTAAGTTCTCAATTTTGATTACACGTATACGTGTGGTACATAATGGTACATGTACTTAACTGAATATATACATACAAACCGTCATAGTCGTGTGTGATGATACTTTTAATATTTTAAATAACACCAGGTTGCTGTTCACCACTGTATGTCGGAATACTCAGGGGTTGGAATGGAAAGTTTTCATTATATGCAATTAATTTATTGTGCGCTGAAACCTCAGTGACATGTTCAGTTCTCGACAACTGTCCATAGCCAAAATATAAACCAGTCAGTTTGTCCTCCCATGGAGCAGTTAATGTACTCCTCTATGTATTTTACCCCCAACAACACTTTCTCAGATTTTCAGATTTTTATTTCTCTCAGACATACAAAGTATGTAACAACAGGTCAATTAAACCCTTTTGCACCTCGTTCCCTTCTTCCTCCTCCATCCTCTTCTCTTCCATATACTTATATATATATATGCATGCCCCAATCGCCGTTTTACAAAAAAAGGAGTCGGATTAACAAAAATACTTTGTACTTGTTTTCGAATCCTATATGTATATCATGTTTGCATTACTGGAATATTATACCGATAATTAAATATAGTTTAAACTAAACCAATAATTAAATGAATTATGATTGGGCGACATTTGTTAAAAAAATATTACGTCCACTTGGTGGGGTGTGGCTGAGACAGTCACCTGTGGACTTGACATAGTTACCTATCATCAAACAGCGACTTGAGGTCAGGCCAAGCAAACGTTTTTATGATGTTACAAGTTCGAGTAAGTTTTATGTTGAGTATATTGTGGATAAGGTAACACTTCAGTATTACTTTACCATAAATATGTTAAATCCGTTTCGTATTTTATGTTACATATATGCAGTCATTTGCCAATAAACTATGTATCGAAATTGTAAGGAAAAGAAATATTGAGGGAAGTGAAAGACTTTATAAATTGCGAGTTGATGGAAGTGAAGGATAAATTCTATTGCAGTTGAATTTTTCTTAAATACAATAGAATTAGGAAAATATAGTTAAGCATACACTGTAATAACACAAGAAGCCCTACATGGCAAAGCTAATCGAAATAGTATCGGTACAAAGTGTTAAGGAAAAAAATATATTTGGTATATTAAAAGCGCTTTAGAGTGACTTATGTTAGCTAGATAGGGCGCTATATCAAATGTTGTATATTTATTTTATTTAGACATCTTAAATCATCGGCAAACCCTATTATTGTTTTAGCCTGAACCTTTGATTATTGTTTTATCCTAAACCTTTGATCATTGTTTTAGCCTATTTCGGTGTACGATGTAAATGTCGTCAGCCTGACTGATGAGTTTCATTAGCTAAGTGAATAAATAATCTTAACTATACACAATCTGTTTCCCTCTTCCGTCAGATATTTTAAAAGCTTTTCTGTACGGTCCAATTAATTCATTGACCTCATAAAATGTACATAAATGCATGCATATGTTTTTCACTGTAACAATACTGTGAGTCACGTGACAGAAACGTCCCACAAACAATGATACGACCGTCATCCCCACCTTAGCGCCGTCAGGTTTAGCCCGAGGACACGTGACCAATCATTCCGTAACAATAGACGCACACTGTTAACATGACGCGTGATCAGTCATTAATGACGTCACGCAAAGATAACAATAAAGATGTATAATATTTGTTTTTCTAACAAGTGAATACAGTTTACATTTCTACCAAAGATAGATAAAGAAAAAACGAATTCCACTCAGTCAACGAATGTTTATATATTTCTACCGGTAATATGCTATACTTACAATTTACAAAGTTGAGAATAACGGTTCAGGTGCATTTGAACCTAAAATCTCTGGAAATGAAAATAAGACATCCTAACCGAGGAATATTATCTTCCTCGTTGCTTAAATCAATCTGCATTCAAATATGAAATAGAATCAGCTGTGATTAATTATACGTCCAACTACATATACTACAGAAGAAATGTCTGTACGACACACGGCATGTTTGCGAACCTATCGCAATCCGCTGGTTTGTGGGATCATATAATTTAAACGTTATATTCTCATCTTTCGCTTATAGATTTACTTAGCGAAGTATGCATATATCCTTGGACAATTATATTATAATACTTGCAGTGCACAGTATATTGACTTAAGTTTTAGCACACCTGTGTTTATACGCGGTATTTCAAATGGATTGGTACCAGACTATAGAATGCATATCAAACGGTTTACGACCTCCATATCTGTCAGGAATGACATATGTCAAGGGAGATTTGCCTAAAAACGATCACCGACCGACATGACTGCAGTTAATGGACTCCCACGCTGGACGTTACGTTTATCAAATAGGTGTCATTGTTTCCTAAAATCATACAATTCCTTAAAAACAACCTAACATATTCTGAGTGTGACCACCGCCTATTTTTGAACGATGACGCGATCCAAATACTACGTGAAACAACAAGTAGTATACTTTGCCTACAAATAAATAATTATTATGTTTATGTAAATGCCGTTGCTGTCTTTCTTCCAAAAAATTGAAATGTGGTACTGAAGTGAACTTCTTCCATACCGGTATTCACTTTAGATACTTCTGAACCTATTGAAATAATCGTAATATATTGAACCACTGGCATTTCGTCTGACAATATAAGCTGATGGATGAGAGAAGGGGAATCAGTCACAACAAAAATATAATTCACGGCAATAGGGACTCGACAGCGTAGTTTAACTCATTCACACCTAAAGACACATTGAACTCTTCTAATTCAAAAGTTGGAATAGTTCATTAAGAATTTTTAGAGGTGAATGCATTAAACTGTTTTTTATTCGACATTCAACTGCAGATACATTAAGCGAAATTACAAAAAAATATATTTAAAGAGCTCCTCTAAATGTTACCTGCATATGTCTATTTTTAAAGAGAGTAGAGCGAAACTGCTTACAACTCCATTGCCACAGGTATTCGTAAGCGATCACAGTTCAACCGTTTATTTGAAATGTAAGACGTCAATATTAGACCGATACTAAGGACATCTGTATCTTTACTATCTCTAAACTCTGTAGGAAGACGATAATGTGAGCATGTCAGTTTTCGTTATTGTCATTAAATCCTAAAATACTGGCTGCCGTTAGAAAATGTCTTTAGAACTGTGGCGTATCTTAAATAAAACAAGAAAACCGGTGGAATTGATATCCCCCGCTTTCAGGACATATTATAGTAATAGAGAGAGTCCGTTCTCCTGGTTAAAACAGAACGTACTCTATCTTGAATGTAACCATTGTATATTTTCTTAATATCACATGTAAATTGTGGTTTTAACGAATAAAATCTTGTCTTGTCTTGTCTTGCCAAATGGGGTCCACTAAAAGTCGTCATCGACATTGGCCGAACCCTTAACTTAAGGCATTAAACCATGTGACCAAGTTTGTTGACAATGGGTAAACATTTGAGGTAGTTATTGCACGGAAATGAAGCGTAAAAGACAGACAATCAAACAGACAGACGGACAAACCCAAATTAATATCCCCCGTTTCGGTGAAAGCGGGGGATAAAAAAAATCTATTTATATATATATCAATCAAATACGCGAATAAAACAAGTGACATGTTGATTCGGAGATAGTTAAGAGGTCAAGTCAACATATATGAGATGTTTATGGTAGATATAAGGACCTCGGGGTCACAAATGTTTGTCTGGGTGTCTATCTGTCTGCCTGTCTGTCTATCTGTCTGTCTGTCTGTGTGTCTATCTATCTGTCTGTGTGTCTATCTATCTGTCTGTGTGTCTATCTGTCTGTCTGTGTGTCTATCTGTCTGTCGGTGTGTCTATCTATCTGCCTGGGTGTCTATCTGTCTGCCTGTGTGCCTATCTGTCTGTCTGTGTGTGTATCTATGTGTGTGTGTCTCTCTCTCTCTCTCTGTGTGTGTGTGTGTGTGTGTCTCTGTGTGTGTGTGTGTCTCTCTCTCTCTCTCTCTGTGGGTGTGACTGTTTGTCTGTCTTTCCGTCCGTCTCTCTTTTCAACAAATTGAGAGGCTTGGAAATATCTTATTAAACCATGGAATACGCTGCCCATACGGGAAACATCTATGTCTGAACTGTATGTCTATATTCCAATGGTTCAGAATATTGGTTGTAGATTGGTGTCGTATCTGTACAGTCCAGAGGACGTGTTTTGAGGGTCTGTGAGGATTTTCAATACATATAGTATACATATATATATAATATTATACAGACATGTGAGCTATACAAGATTCAGGTGCGTTACGGCTTTACTAGCATGATCGTGTATACATGTGTATCATGACAGGTTTGACAATGATTGATCAATTAACTTATAGGTAATATATGGACATGTTTAACATATACGTTAATAGTGAGTGTTGAGACAGTATGATGAAGCACACCTTTACCGAAACTTTTATATATATGTTTAAATAGATCACAACGAGAGAAAGATACATGCATCACAAGCCGAAATATCGGATTGGAATGTGCGACAAAATACTTTGTGAATAAAATAATAAAGATCAAAGGTTTACGACTTGAACACGTAGAACACAAAACATACATTGTCCGCAAAACATAATACTTACTAGTGGGTGGATACACTGGCCAGTAGCTGTTGGGGCTACAGTTGGTGTTGGACATTTAAATCTCCCAAACAATTGTAGCACCAAATCATCAAGGGCGGCCAGCGAAAGGGAAGTAGTGTTTTGTACTCGTAAAATCCTTAATACTTTATCAAACGGGTCGAATTTAGAATGTCCATGGCTAGTTTCATCCAATATAATACCACTGAACAAAGAAACAAATGTGCAGGCCAGAAGGACACCTTTCATTTTCACTGCCTGTGTTGTAAATGACACTGTTGTCTTCGACTTAATGTCAGATGACTTACGCGTTACTGTTATATAGATGTCTCCAGAGGGTGATTCACATTTACGTTACCGACCAAGGCCGTGTGCAGTCTAGCTCGTATGTGATCCACGACTGGTTCGACCGTGTGCAAAACCTTGACTGTTAAATGTGAAGCACACCTTACTAAAATGTACCACGTGACTTTGTTTTCTACGTAGGTAGAAACACCTCGGTTAACACAGATTATATCTAAGTACCTTGACACAACAACACCGTTCGACTAGAACGTGTGTTTGACAATTTAAACTTCGTTAGTGAAAGACAGGTTTTGACTTTTTGTTTACACTGTGTTTTATTTGGTGCTATCTAATTTTAGAAGTGTTAACTAACACGCTTTAATACAGAGTATTGCAGGTTTACTTTTTCTCGACGAGGAAGTAAAGTGTACAATAAACTGACTTTCAATTAATTTAGATTTCATTTGATTAAAAAATGTAGGTATTGATTCAGACATTAAATACAACTTTTACGTCATAATATTACACGATTAGAGGGGAGGTATGCGGGGGTGAATCTTACATGCGACAGAGGATAGAGAAAGAGAGGAACTACAGAATGTATTTAGATTGTTAGTGCTGGCGGCACCCCATCGTCTGACAGTCCGTGGGAAGACAGCATACATGTCCGGATAAATGAAATTGTATATATTATAAAAAGGTAATTAATTCAATGCGCCCAGTATTCACACTCGATATGCTCATGCTCTTTATGAGCTGTTGAGCTTTGTGACTCACCAGCGTAAGCCATATTAGAGGTTATAACGACAGAGCAGATATATATAAACAATATATATAGGATCTTACACGAGTTTCCATTTCATATGAGATTTATGAAACGAGTCTAAGAATTTTAGCGAACTAATTTGAAAAAATTGTGACGAGTTTCATAAAGAGCTATGGAGGAAAACTGCCCGTATTTCCCTAAGTCGGCTTTTTTGAAAGCGGAAACAAATATTGACGAGTAAATAATTTTTAGTAGTGAAAATGTATGGAATAGATATAAAACCAATTGAATATGATTTTTGAACTGTTGAGGTATTCGGTATTGTTAATATAATACAATGTACTGCAAATATAGCCTTATTCACTATACATGTATCTATGAACGTGACTTCAAAAAATACTTTCAATACTTTCCCATCCGAGGACCAACTTTTGAATAAACTTTTTTATTCCGTGATGTAATATGCAAAAACAAATCGAATGACGGAAAAGTGGTCCTCCTTTGGGAAAAATAATGAAAAACAGGGTTTATCAAGTTTCTCAAAACTGCGACAGATGTTTCTTGGGTTAAAACAGTTTGTATTTCCGTATTTGTCTATGTCCGATGTAGCCTAAAATGTAACGCAGTTAGCTTGTGACAAGGTGAGATGAACGATGTAGGTTCGAATCTACGTTCAGATAAAAAATGTTTTTAATATTTAGGCATGTGAAAATTTTCCTTAACTAAGTGATAAATATTTTTCAAATCAATGGAACATTTTATTGATATTTTAATAACAAACCTATTGATTTATCTTCTATGGAATTAGTATTTTTATTTATTTTATAAGAACAAACAAATGATGCCGAAATACAAAATATATGGGATTGTTGCGTCGGAATGAAAAAAAAGGGCAAAGGAAAAAAATGAACTGTTTTTATGGAAAAGATATTTCCGAACATGCGGGAAAATTCTTCGTCAAAGACAGTCTCAGGAAGACTGCAGCACAAAGTAAGGAGCGTAATACACGTGTAACACATGTTATTCGAAAACTTTATGTAATTTTACAATTAAACGAGGACGCGTCATCACAGTACTCAAGATTTCAAGATTTCAAGATTTATTTATTCACTCCAGACACACATTTCGTGTGTAACAGCAGGTCAATCTTCAGATACATTTCATAATGGCAGACCAACTGGAAAGATTGGTGTATTTTAAAGCAAATGCATACATACAAAGCATACATACTAGGCATAGCATAGCAAAGCATAGCATGCATACATATAGTATCATACATACATATAGTACCATACATACATACACACAACAGCACACATGCAATTCATAACATCATAGATATATATATATATAATAGCATACATACAAACATATAACAGCATACATACATAAATGTAACAGCATACATGCATACATATAACAGCAAAAATGCATACATATAATAGCATACATACATATAATACCATATATATGAAACCATACATATAATAGCATATATACACACATATAATAACACACATACATGTACCTACATACATATATTAGCATACATACATGTATACAATAGCATATACACATATAATAGCATACCTTCACACATACAAACATGCTTTGCAAAGCATAGCAAATCATACCATGCATACATATATCATAGCAAAGCATACATACATTCATGGCATACCTATATACATAGCAGACCATATTATAGAATAGAATAGCAAAGCATAAATGGCAAACAAATAAATGATTATAATATATTTATCATTTTTTTCTTGTTTAGAAAAGAATTTGCTTATTTTGCTGAGCAATGAAGAATCACAAATAGAAAACATACCTTTCACTTTGACAGCAGTTGGATTGATATAATAACAATTGGGAATGTATTTATGACGTATTTCAATTACAGCGTCATTCTGACATTGGTACAAATAATGAAATTCGTCACCTACATCTGTTGTACATAAGAGACACATTCTTTCCTGTCTTGGAACGCCTGTCCATCGACCTATTTCTATTGGCAGCCTTAAATTGGACATTCTAAATTTACATAAAATCAGTTGGACGCGCGCACTAGCTTTGGGAGAATAGACATAGCGATCCGCCATAGCTCTTTCATATTAAATCAAAACGAGTGTAAGATGCTTTTTATCACATAATTAAGATTTGTGGCATTCATTTTTGTGAGACGACAATTTTCATGCATCCTTGAAATTTAAAAAAAAGTCGTCATTTTTACTCCAGTGTGTAAGTCTGTGACGTCGTGTACTTGTCCTAGACGTGACGTCACAATTGAAACCATTGCAACTAACAACCAATCACAGGGCTGATAGGTCATATTACTCGGGTTAATACGCGAAAATATGGCATGGGTATATTTACTGGATAACACAGTACATTATTTAGAGGTTATCATAAGCCTGTTTTCATATCAGACCCCAGCTTGGCCTGTGCTACCTATATCAGACCAAAGGGCAGAAGGCCCGCGGGCCTTTTATAGGCTGAGGGCCAATATGGGGTATGATATGAAAACAGGTATGTTATAACATTTTTATCATATAATTTTACTAATGAAAAAACCCCATTAAAACAAATAGTTTCCTCCTCGTGTCGCCGTTTTTCGTGCTGTCGACAAAACTACCGTTGTCTTCCCTTTCGATGTTAACAAACCTTGCCTCTTCCAACCTTTGGTAATTTTCTTTGTCGATAAGTTCATCTAATTTAAGCATTCGTTGAGCTAACGACTCGGGTACTGCCTCCATGAGACTCCATGGTAGACGAGACCACAGGGGCCTGATAATTACAGCTATATTTGGACCTAAACTAAGGTGTTCAAAGTTTTTTTTACATGTTTTAGGAGTTTAGATCGACTTTCGGTAAAACTGACACCCCCAATGATCATATATACCCGAAACGTTATTTTTTGATTGTTTCCAATTATTTAAGTGATAGTGGAAGTTTTATGGTATATTTTCTAAAACATATTCCGTTTATGATAATTGCATTAGGTGAATGTTTTCATAATAGTCTCTTTACTTAAACTAGAAATCAGTCACAAATGATAATGTTTCGGGGAACATCTTTGTAAATTCAGCAAAAAAGACATCTGATATCAAACATAAAAAGAAATCTACCATTTTTTACTTCTAATTTACTTACCGTAAATGAGTACGTTCAATATTACATATCATTCTACTTCTAATTTACTTACCGTAAATGAGTACGTTCAATATTACATATCATTCTACTTCTAATTTTAGATTGATACACGTAAATGTATTCTCTTTTAATTATTCTGTGATTCCTCCAATTAACGATTACAACATGACCATTGCGATGTATTAAAATGTGAACCATGTAAAGGCCATGTCACCCGTTTTTTCAATTCTAAAGAATGTCGCTTACATAACTGGAATTGCTATAAGCTCACTAGTGACTACCTAACCATCTAATTATATTTACCTGCCCACGTCATCTAGATCTAAGGAGAACATATATTAAAAATTGTTACTGGCAAAAAACAATCTGTATTCAAAATTTTCGAATTGGTAAATACACACAATTCAAAAGAACTGAATTTGTCAGGTAAATTTATTATTGAAACTAACAAAGAAAGGATTGTTTAACTTATAATTTTGTTTTACCTAATTTTGAATTACTCAATCGTATCATGTCCTTTTTTGTTCGTACAATCTTTCATGTTTAAGATGGTAAATACTCAATGTTGTTGTATTTGATGATGATGGATTTATAAGGCAATGATTATTATGATGATGGTGATATGATGTTTTCGATGATGTTGATTTGTTGTTGTTGTTGTTGATGATGATGATGATGATGATGATGATGATGATGATGATGAGATGATGATGATGATGATGATGATGATGATGATGATGATGATGATGATGATGATGATGATGATGATGTTGATGATGATGATGATGATGATGATGAGATGATGATGATGATGATGATGATGATGATGATGATGATGATGATGATGATGACGATGATTATGATGATGATGGAGATGACGATAATGACGACGACGACGATGATGATGATGATGATGATGATGATGATGATGATGATGATGATGATGATGATTATGATGATGATGATGATTTTTGATGAATGTGCCAGTAATATAAAATTATTTGTTGTTGTACAAATGCAAATCCTATAAGTTGTAAAACTTACGGAAATAAATTGAATTGAATTATGACAGGTAGACACACTCTGTTAATTATAACTTTCTACATGTATATAAATCACAACGTTACGGAGAAAGGGAGTCTACAGAAATCATCGGAGTTATTTAGTGGGGTATATGTATTGGCATCACCAATATTTTTGCGTTTTGTTCTAAAAATAGGATGGTTAA